TCAGCTGCCTACAGGCGCATTTGTAGGGGTTGAGAAACTCTGCAGGAATTTTAAATTCTGAGGAAACATCTTTGCAAAGTAGTTTCCTGCATCTTTCCACAAGCCTGGCTGCACACTGTGATCAACACCTGACTAATGGGCTAAATTTTAAAATAAATGACCTTGTCACTGACAACCGATGGGAAGGATGCAGAAAAAGCTGCAGAACGCAAGTGAGGAATGGTGATGAAGGACACCTCTCATGACTTTTCAAGCTGCTTTCATCCTGGACAATACCCTAGCAGGAATACTCGCAGTCCTAAGCCAAGTTTTCCTGGCATGAAGCACTCCCAGTGTCAGGCGAAGCTTTAGGCAACGCTTCAGCACATTCAATGCACATGTGGACTAACGCGTTTCAGCGGTGAGTGCCCACAGATGATCCAAAGTAATGGCAAATAGCAGCTACCCGCCCATACCATGGCGGGGAGGGAGAAAGTTGTAAGAGAGATTATTTGGAATGAAAAGGTGGTGTTTTTTTCAAAGAACTGAGCCAAGGACAATCAGATGTAAGTTGCTGTATGCAGAAAAAGCAATGGATGAAACTGGCTCATAACTTTGTACTACCAGCAACGGTGCTGGCTCGTCTTCATGGATGGAGCTGGGTGATTTAAATGACAATTCAAGCTCACGCTGAGCTCCAAAGTGGAAATCTAAAACCAACCTCCTCCAAAGGCCAGATGTGTTTAACTTCCAAGGTTATGGTTTTGAGTGTCCTTCTTTTCAGGTTGTGGAAATGTCAAGATAAAATTGAAACAGCTCCAGGGTTTTCGTTGACAGAGGACAAACAAGCATTCCACATGTTCAGCACGTTATCCTCAAGAGAACCTCCCTGCAAAAACACAAGAGCTGACCTGCAAGCCCCACCTCGGGCACTACAAGCCCGCAGATCAGGGTGCAACCTCAACGCACCTCTTTTAAAAGTCTCTGTTTGGGGGGGCCCAATCTCCAAGCCACGACCAGCCCTCAAGCACATCCATTCCTCAGGCAAATACAGTCCTCTGACATGGGGCAGGAGAGCAATCCAGCTCAGAGCCAGGCTCACGCAAAGCAAACATCAGCCTCATCTGGAGGCAAAGGAGAGCTTCCAGTGAGAAGTTTGGGGGTTTCCCCAGGCTATGAAGAGCCCAGCACAGATTCCAACAGGCACAAGTTTGGCTGCATCTTCCTACCCTTCTTCTCTAACAAGATCTCCAGTGTCATCTTAGCTTTGAGGGGCTCAACTCTGCTCTACGCCGCAGCTGAAGTTTAGCTCAGGGCTACTCGCTCCCAGAAGTGCCTCTCCGGCTTTTGTCTCACGCAGCCCTGTCCAAACCACTTCCAGCAGGCTCTGTTTGCGTGCTTGTCTGCCACAGAGATTCAATCCACTGCAAAATGGCAGCGCCTTTCCCCCTCAGATGGTGGCCCAAATCCACCACCATGTCATCAACATTTTTAGTGTCAGAGCTTTCCCGGTTGGAGTTTTGCTTGTTCGTAGCAAAGTGCCTTAAACCGAGCTCTCCACGTCCTTTCCACTGACACTGCTTTCTCGGGAGTACCTTGTCTCTGGTCTTTGGTTTGGTAATGACCCAAGCTCACTGCACGACAGCAAGAACTGTGCAGGGAGCGAGCGCAGAGCGATTCCCTGCCTGTTCTCACAGTTCGGCCTCACCAGCATGGAAATACTGGCACTTCTCCGCTCTCCATCCAAATCTCAACGGTGCAGCTGATAAAGTCATTTAAAGGCATGAAAGGAAATGAAAGCGCTCCGTCCCACTGGAAGCCACCAGGAGCTGGGTTTCGAACCTTCATTTGTGCTTTTGGAAGTCTTCCTCCAGGGCTTTAGTGCAGCAGCGAACAACCGATGTGCAATCTATGCACTGTTCTTCCCCACTTATTTCACAGCTTGAAGAGAGGCAATAAAACTAGGGACTCGAGCTCAGCAGTTTTGCCTGATTTTTGTTGCTGCTCTGGGTTCCAGGATCAGGATTTCTGCAAATTTTATTTTTATTTCTATTGTCAGTGTCCCGGCACACGAATGGGAGCAGAGAGCCACCCTGAGAACACTAGCATCAGTGCTGGCTGGTGGCAGATCTCCCACTAAACCCTCATATCTGGACCCTCTAGGGACCATAGATCTGATGGTGCTCCTGTAGGTATTGGTTATTTTTTCTTTAATATTTTCATTTTTGTAGTTTCTGGCCTCTTTGCATGGCCTGGGAACCTGCAAGAACACTTCATCTGACAGTGCAAAGAAGAAGGTGGGGACAGAAGGCGTGCTTCCCACTCTGAGACCTGCCCTATGCTTCTGTGCAATTTTTGGACAGTCTCTCTGGCCACATTACTCAAATTACAAATTGCTGTCTGACTTATCCAGGTTGTCACAGCTTCTGAGGTCAAGATTGTAACTCTATAAGGCGCTGAAAATTTGCCTGTTTAATTACCTCAGTTTCCCTGTTTGTAAAGGGGGGATAAGATCATCTTCCACGTCTCAACTCATTAATATCTGCAAATTGTTCAGAGACTACGGGATAGTTGGAACTATTTATAGCAATGCAAAATGCCATTTCTATTAGGTGCAAGTTGCCATGCAATTAAAATATACTGAGCATCACAATATGTAGCAAATGGGACAACTTGTTTTACAGCAGCAAAGAAATGCTAAGTGGCCCTGTGCTTCCTAGTTGTTTATTTTATTTTATTCTTTTTGCCCTGAAAAACTCATTAAGGAAATGTACTGGGCCAGGCTGTGATGTTTAGCAAGAGCCATAATCTCTCTCGAAGTTCCCAGCCCACAGGGAAAAGGATGTCCATGTGAGCAAATCAAACTCCTCTACCCACAGCGCTACAAAATATAGAGCTTTACAATTTGCTGTGGAAAAAGAGGGATGTGAACCACAGTTATGGCCCTTCTGCACCTCTTAAAGGAGATTTCCATTCTGTGGCTATATATAAAGAACAGCCTCTGCTCTCAGCCCTTCCAGGGAAGGGGAACAGAAGATCCTTTGAATCTCAGCTTTCCTCGGCTTCCTTCTACGGAGTGACCAGGGAGAACTTTTATTGGCTTATTCCCCTACAGATGAATTTATTATTATTCCTTCCAAAGGGCTGCATAGAGTATGTTCTCATTTCTGTCTGGCAGAGCTTTGTAAGAGGCCGTTTGGACAAGACCGCTGCAATAATTCATGCCATTTGCAGACAATTTGTAAACTCTTACAGTGTCCCAGAATGATTCATTACTTTCCTAAGAATATGAAGCAGTGTATGTGTTTGTGTTTGTGAATATCCATGCTCATGAAAAGGGAAGACAGGCAGCTCCCCTAGGCCCAGAGGCCGGAATGAAGAACAGCATGGATTTCTTGGTTGTTGTGTAGGGGTTTTTATGGTATTTCAGTTGTTTCACCCCTCCACATTTTGGGTTTTAAGTGAACCCAAAGCATAAGGTAGCAGTCTTAGTTGTTCCAGTGTCTCCTAAAAAAGGTTCTGGAAAATCCAGCCTACCATGTCACAAAGGTATAATCCTATGTAAATAACTTATTCTAACGATGATCAGTGGCTTTGGCATCAGCCACCCAGGAGAAGAGCAATTAAAGCCATCCCTCATCCTAGATTACAAGGCCTAAACTTAATCTCCATTAAGTTTTCAATACGATTAGCTTTTGATCAGCTTTCAAAACAAACAGCACCTTGCCGGTAGTTTCTGGATGAACATACATAAACCCAAGCGAGTTGAGAACAAGGAATCAACAAATCCTAGGATTTGGAATGATTTCCTGAAAGCTAGGTCAAATATTCTCCATAAATACCCATCTGATACAAACTAACCCCAAAGGGAAGAGGCTCATAGGAGCAAAAATCAGAACAATTGCTGGAACAAATGTTCAGGATTTGCTTGGGAGTGTAGTCCAAGCTCTCTTTTGCAGCAAGATACAAGAAATAAATCCACGTAGGCTTGGCAAAAAGTCTGGAACCTTTTAGTGTTGAGTACCAGAACCTCTTCTTTTTTCACATTATTTTGGTTATTGCTGCAGGTGCTAAAATTTATTTGCTCCTTGCCATGACATGTAGAGTTGGGTGAGAAATGTTCCTTACCTCCCAGTTAAGCAATTAGAAGACCATACCAACATGTGTTGTGGTGCACAAGAAAAAGAACAGCAATCAGGTCCTTCTGATGCTTTTTATCATTAAAATGATTTTCTGGTGACAGTAAAGTTGACTGGACATGGGAGTCACTGACTGACTGTGAGAGGGACCCAGTAGAGAAGAGACTGTTGATTGTAACAGGTTTTAAAAAGAAGTATCCAGCCCTCACTAGGTAAGACATTTTCCTCTCCTTGCGTGCCCCATGACTGTCCCCCTATACCTGCATACCAAATGGTACCTCCCTCAAAAGGTTTTGTTAGTCTGATTTGTTTGGCTAAGAAAATGTCAGCTGAAAGAATAAATGTGGTGAGGCTGCAAGTACAAACACTCAGACAGAAGATTTTAAAAAATTATCCTGTTGTGTGCTTGCAGAAACCAGTCTCCCCACAAGTTTAAGAGTCCAAATCCCACATGAAGGGAAGAGAAAGTCATGTGAGAGGTTAAAGAAATCCAAAGCAAACATGAATATTAGCTTTGTTGTATGGTCCTGTAAAACAAGCTGGGTAAAGTTACTCTTTGGGTTGGTTTGGTTATCGACATCTCTTGCTGTGCTGCAGTGACCCTTTTGACTTTAATTTCACCACCAACCATCAGTTTCTGTTGTCTCTCCAGCTTATTGTCAGCATCAGTATTAAGCTGTTCTAGCAGGAGATGTGATTAGCTTGTGTGTTTTTAACTCATGCTTTCACAGTGAAAAAAATCTGAGATACATAATGCAAATAATAATAATCCTTTACGGTATGAACAAGGTTTAGGACAGCTGCAAAACCAATATTGCAAGCTTTGGGTCTTACGGGATGGGAATGAGGCTGATTTCTTTAAAAATGTGTAATATATCCTACCTTGCTGGCTTTCAGTATCTCAAACATCAGAGGCAAGCCTTGTGTGATGAGCTCCTCTGTGTACTCTTCTTCCTGAATGGACTTGAATTCCTTTAGCAAGCACTGGATGAGGGGTCGTCGGTGCTGCTGGAAGGACGTGCGCAAGGACTCCAGCCATGTGTGCAGCGTCCAGGGAACACCTACGGACAGAGGACAGAGCTCATTGCCAGCTTCAGAGAAGGATGTGCCCTTCTGCACTTTCACCTTTAGTCGTGTTAAGATTTTAAGCAATATCTGCCAAATAACCCTAGAAATCAAATTCCTATTTATCCCCGATTGAGAAGGCTGGGGGTTACCAGGACATCCCAGACATAATGCACAGAGGCTTTCCTCCAAACGCGAAGAGAAGACTCTGGTCTCTCTGCTCATCTAGCTTTCAGCTGCTCTGCTGAGACTGCCAATTTGTGGTAATTGCTGTGGTGCTCTGTGATGCAAAAGCCTTTTGGAAACTAGATTTACACTACCTCATTTGTCTCAATGTGGCCCTGGAGAGCCATTAAATGGTAGCAAAAAAAAGATTTTGGTCACTACCCACCTGGACTCAAACTGGTGGTCTTCAGATTAAAACTCTTTAAGCGCTACCCCATGTTCTCTCCTGATTATTACTATTTTCCCTAAACAGCACTGGGTGAGTTAAGCAGATCAGCCTTTTCAAGCAGTTTGTCGTGGCACAACCGCTCTCCAGGAACTTAAAGGGAATGCTCCCATGCACTGAGTGAGAAAGCACATGGAGCTAACGTACCTCTGAAGGCATTAGGCTGGATGTGACCTAGTTTCTGCTCTTGCAGAACGGAGTGGGAGGAAACGCAAGCCTGGTGTTTGGCTATAAAAGGTTTTGCCTTCTATTTCAGCAAGCGTCCAGCGCCTGGAGAGCAGCCCTGTTGCTCTCCTCTTGTTTGCTGCCAGGTCTTTGCCTGCTCTTCCCACCCCACGAGCCACCGCTCAGACTGATCCGTGCCATGTCCCCAGGCACCGCACCAGGCAGAGGGATGCCAGGCACCTCGGTCTCTCTCTCTGGATGCAGATCAATGGGGACTGTAAACACACAGTCCAGAGAGATTCCCCTCTACCCCATCCAACCATGCTCCCCACGGGCAGGCGCAGCTTCCCAGCTGGCTGCTATGATGTTCAAGGCCCATGCTGGCAGAGCTGGCACACCAAGGAGCCAGTTCCCTGCTCCTGCCATCAGAGGCTCACAAAGCCCTGAAAATAAAGATGTTTTAATTGTGGACTGCTTTATGGCAGACCGCAAAGGAGGAGCTGTTGGAGGTGGCCCACAGCAGCCAAACACTGCCCCAGAGTCTCAGCTAATGCTCTGGCATGCAGCAGTGAAGATGGATGCTGGTGGAAACCACTCTGTCCTGCGGAAAAGTGCCAGTGGCCCCTGATGGGGTACGCTGTGGAGCCAAAATGGGCCAGGAACCTGCCAGATCCCCCACCAACTCCTGCTTCCACAAGAGTTGAGGGAGGCAGAACTGTGGTCGGTTTAAGCAACAGCCCATCAAGAGATGCATTTCGTACAGCGGTCCCTCCCCGGAGGGAGAGGAGAGGGCACCAGGACTGACCTATGCTCCGTATGTCAATGGTCACATCCACGTAACCGTGCTCGGCACTGTGGTACATGGCCTCCTTCAGGGCTTTCAGCTTGGCCTTGCTGTTGCGGCTGGCACAGAGCGGAGCTGCTGCCGAGTCAGGCAAGTCCGTCCCCTCAGCCAGGATCTCCTCCAGTGACAGAATATCGCTCTTCTCCTTCTCTGGCTGAGCAAGCAGCTTACGAAAGACATTCCTGTTGATCAGAGCATGAGGGAGAGAGGGTGGGAGAGCAGAGTCAGCGGCTGGGCTTTCATTGTGCCCGGCGTACTTGTGTTGACATGGCAAGTTAGGACACCTATCCAGGAAATCACTCCAATTGATGGCAGAACCAGCTGAGAGCAGACCCAAGGCAAGCACAGCTCCCGCTCGCCCACCTGCACTGTCTGGGCCACGTCTGCCAGACGCTGCTGTCGTGACAGGAACCATACAGATGTCGCACGAGTGGCGGCCTCTTGTGGGAACAGAGACCCATGAGCTAACCGTGACTCAAAGCTTCTTCCCACAATCAGGGAGGGCCGAGGTGCCTCTGGACAAGCTCTCAGGACTTCCACCATGGAGGCCACTTGAGAGGGGAGCTGCCTGGATCTACTGAAAGCACCACCACTCGATTAACACTCAAAGCAGTCTGGGAAAGCTGGAGCAGCTAGACATTGAACAAGGCCAGTCAGGGCAGGTTCGAGCACATCTGGGACTACTCTGCAAAGCCATTGATGTAGTTGGACCATCAAATAGCAACACCCAAACTCAGAGACTTGGCATCCTCAGGTTTGTACCAGCGTAACCTCATTGATCTCAACAGAGCAGCTCTCGGTCTCGCAGCTGTGAGAAGAGTAACCGGGCTGGTCCCCATCCCACCACCCCCTGCACCTGCTCATACCCCAGTGTGGGGTGGCAGTGGGGCATGGCATGTCCCATTCTAATTTAGGGCAGAGAGGGAAGGAGGAGGGAGTGTGCATGAGCAGTGTATAGGTAGGAACATAAGAGCCAGGGCCTGACACGTGCACAGCCATCAGCCAAGCCAAGGAGAACCCCAGGTCCTCCTTGGGCACGCGTTTCCCACTCACGCTGGCTGAACGTGAGACTCCAATAACCAAACTCTCCTCTCTGTCCCAGGGGTCTCTCGCAGGGTCCAGATGGGCAGCGTTGTGCGAACCCGCCCTGACATGCCGTTAGCATGTTGTTAGACTGGCAGCTCATCTCTAAGCAAACAGACGGTAGATACTGTCTCTAACCTGTATCTATGTTCCTCTGGATGGCTACAATCAGAAAAGTAGGAACGTGAAGATCATAATACTAATCCATTACACTGCAGTCAACCCCTGAGCGTTGCAAGATCATGCATGCCAGGTGCTCACTTCATTACGTTGGTTTTTTTTTTAATTTGCAGCATACATACAACATTAAGACACACAGGACTTTACAGTAAACACAGATGCAGAAACTCTATTCAACGAAAATTATGGCTGCAGCAGTACAGGCACAATTTGCTCAAACCTGAAAAATCTGCCAAGAAATTCAAAAGGAATGTCTTTGGAATTCCTTTCTGCCGTCACATCAGCTGCCATTTAACAACCACTGCATTGCAACACACCACGAGGAGTCCCCTTTAGATATCCAAAAGCAGCTTTGTACCACCAACTGGTTAAATTCACATGCTAGCAAGGAATTCTTACATCTCTGCTCAGTTGGCAGCATGTACAATTGTCCATGCAGAATTTTCACTCATCTGCTCAAACCAGACGCCCAGGCAAGAAATAAGCACTTGAAGGAGGCCACTAGACTCGTTCCCACTCTACCTGTGTCCATGTGCAGCAGCCTGACTGAAAGAGTTCATGTCACCTTGTGGAGTCATGGAAATGCCGTTCCTGTACATTGTTCCTATCATGGGGTCAGCTCCTCGCTCCAGCAGCAAACTGACCAGTTCAAAATTTCCTGCAAGTCAAGAGATGCAGTTTTACTTCTTTTAAAATCCAGTATTTCCTCACCTAAACCACAGATCCCGAATGAAGCATTTTTTACAGTGGGAGGAGAAAGTCCTTACCAGCAGCTGCTGCCAACTGTAAAGGAGTTTCAGAGTAATTTTCCTCTCCATGCTCCAAGGAACCTTCTACCTTTGCTCCAGCATCCAGCAGCAGCTAGAAAGAAAATTAACTGTTTAGAGCAACCGAGGGTATCAGAGTCTTCAGAGTTCATGAACAGTGACGAATGAGAGTCTAATGCCTCTTGTTATCCGCAAACCAGGTACGATGGAGACAAATGACATGCAAATTCTGCCCATTGTTTCACAGAGGCAAATTGATTCCTTTTTTCACTCATTTTAAGCTACCAGACACCAGGAGCACTAGTGTCCAACTTCAGAGCCAAAAAAGCGTAACCCAGTGTTTCTGAATGGGAAATGGGGTAAGGTCAGTGTTAGGAAGTAATGTGCTGGAGATGGAAGTACTGAAAATTAGCCCAACAAGCACCCTTCCTTCATGGTCTTCTAGAAGCCCAGCACCATCCTAAAATGGACCAGATTTCAATTCCATCTATCTTTTATATAAAGACATGGCCAAAAGACAGGCAATTCTTAAACCCAATTGCAGCAATGAGTCCAAAAGCTTTGATCTCCATCGGGCACACTTCCACATAAATAACAACAATGCTGAAAACAAAAGTGGCCAAGAAGAGCAGGATGGAGCCCGTGCTCCAGCCCTCTCTTGGCCATTTCTGTCTTGAGGCCTTCACAGTTTTGGCTCTTCGGTAAGTGTGCCACAGGCACAGCTGTTTTAAAGAATAAAGCTTCTCAGCTTTTGAGATGCCAAAGCACAGAACCAGCATATCCCACACGACACCTCCATGGGGTAAGGAGAGCGAGTGCTTCTCCCCCTCTGGAGCTGCACAAGGGCTGTTGTCCACCTCTCCCCCGCCAAGGCAGCAGTTTTGTATTTGCTAGAATATTATAGTGTAAGAAAGTGTAATGAATGAATAAACAAACATATAAAACAAGTGGTCAGGAAGGAGCACAAGGAGTTGTCAGACTTTCTTTGGTGCAACTTTGCTTTAAAATTGTCCTATTTAAACCTCATATTGGTTAAGGTTTGAACACCGTATTCACTATATAATAGGTTTCCCATGTATCAGTACACTCTAGAAGAAGCAGAAGTAACCAATATGAGTATGACAAGAGGATACTGGTTTGAGATGGATGTAATTAGAACTGAAGAGGAGAAACAAAAGAATGAGATGCAGGTAGGGAAATACAATAATACCTGAACTACAGGAATATGTCCATGCAACACAGCAAATGTCAGAGCTGTCCAATGGCGGGTCTCAGGGTGGACGGATGGGTATTTATGAGCAGTACTGACAACCTACAAACAAATTAGAGTTATTTTTTTAAAGAGCTATACGTAATAAAATTCAACCTGCCTGAAAGCCAGGCACGTGAGGGAGTAAGTGAAATAGAAAACCTGGGAAAAGTATTTATAAAATGATTTGCTTCATTTTTTTCCTGAAAAGATTTTCTCAATATTAAAACTGTTCATGCTGATTTGACAGCTTGAATAGAGTTCATACCAAATGAAGTCTTTTTACCAACTACTGTAGCTCCATCTAAACCACTGGCCACCAGATACTTTTGCACAAGGTCAAAACATCCACAGCTGGTTACAGCAGGACACACTGGGGAAGCAAGGATGGATCAGGACGCTTAAAGCTAAGGACCGCTCGCACTGACTTCTCCAGACCATCTATCAACAGCCCCCAGTCTTGTGACTGCTCCAGGCCCAAAGAAATTCTTCCCACGTACATCAGTATGACTTTTGTCACTGCCATCATGAAATACACATCACAAGCTCTACCCTAGAGTTCACAGGCATGCTTCCAGGCTCCTCCTCGCCCACCGGAGGAAAAAAAACAGCCGAGAAGGGACAGGGCAGAGCAGCACTTCAGAAATGTTTTAAGAAAACTCCTTTTTACTGCCTTCTCCTGTCTCAGTTGAGTTAAAAAAGCAGGGTGGTGACAGTTAAAAGAGATGCAAACTATATCCTTAGAAAACAAAATGGTATTTTTCAGATTGCTCCTTCCATTTTCTATGCCTTAGTGCCTCATGCCTCTAATGTAGACATTGGGGAAGATGAATAACCACTCTTCGCTTCACTTTCCCTGTCTTAAAGACAGGGATATTAATATTGATGAGGTTCACAGAGATGGTAAAATCTAATGAACGTTTGCAATCCGAGACTGCACACTCAGATGGAGTGTGACACTAAAATTCAAAATCTTATTATTGATCTTCAGAGGAGGACTAAAATCAGAGTAAAAGATGCACCATCTCTCTGTCTCATCAGGCAGCTGTGCTTTCACTACCTTGTCTGGATCACTTTTGTCCATGTAGGGGAGCAGGGCCAGTTATTAAATGCTCAGCTGCATTAGCAGTTCACATTTCCAAGCGCCACATGCAGCGTTTTGCTAGAAGCACACAACCAGACCCTCAGTCCCAAGGACGGGAACGAGGCAAAAAATCTGAAGAGCCCGTGCAGATCCTGCAGCTTGCCACAGGAGCGGATCTGCACCAGCACCTGGCTGTTATCTCCCAGATTTGCCAAAAAGAGAGCTCAGAGTGCCAACAGAAGAAGTGTGCCGATGTCTGTGCAGAGGCATGGGGCTTCTTTGGCTCTGGGATTGCTCAGAAGGAAGAGGATGGAGCAGCTTGAGCCTTGGGGTTTAGGCTGGGGAGCAAGAGCAGCGGAGGGTGAGGATGAGCAGGGTCACGGTTCAGTGAACGCATCCAGCTTCTCTTCCAGCATGGATTCCCACCACTGTTTGGGGCAGCCCAGGGCAAGTGGCAAATAAAATGAAGTCATTTTAACTCCTTTGCTCCTTTTTTTTTGGCTAGAGTTCTTTCCAGTCAACACGGTGTTTGCAAAAGGCCTAGAGCTGACTGGGCTTTTAACGCCTCAGTTGAGACTTGCTGAGGAGCAACAGGTCCCACTGACTCCAGAGTGAATTGCAGCTTCTCAGCACATCTGGAAATGAGTCCATTTTTGCTCAAGATGGGCAATCAAAAAGGGAGGCACCCAGCATTTGAGGCTACTTTTGGAAACATATATATATAACTAATTTGCAGAGTGAAAGGGGGAAAATGATGCAGGCACCTGACAGAGTATTTATTTTTGTTCATGGTTGATTTGCCTTTTTTTGCCATAATCGCCCAATTTGCACAGTTGGTTGTGGTGTGCACAAATCATCTTATAATTGCACACCATAATTATTCACAGTTCTTGTCTCAAAGTGTTTTCATTTGATTTTAGAGCAAACACTCTACAGAAACGAATCAGGGAGGTTCACATCCCTCACTGGAGCTGTTCTCTCAGATGTCAGCAGTTTCAGGAAGACAAAACTCTTTAAATTTGCATTTGGTTCAAGTCTGGAAGATTACTGGAGAAACCGGGAGGACTGATCCTAATAAAAACTTGTCCTAGGAACCAAATAATGCCACCTCACCTCTGAGCCACAGGCAGGGATAAAGAAGAGATCAGGCTCCATGCCCATCCAGTCTTTGGTCTGTCTATCAACAGTGCTAACAAGAGTTCAAGTATTCAGTTATTGCCAGCTCTTGAGGATGGTTTGCTTGAATTTGGGGAGGGAAGAGGTGAGAGTGGAACCGAAATCATCAGCTGATTTCACAGAAGCCACCGAACAGCAATCAGATGGTAACGACTATCAGTTTCTTACAGTTGACATCCATTTCTACTTTTAAATTAGATTTTTTAAAAGTGCAAAATGTCTGGCTGAAAGCAGTGACTCTAATTTATCAGCTCACTCAAGTCCAAACAGAACAGATGGAACACAGATAAGTGAAGCAGACAGCTTAATTTACTCATGACCTCAACAAATTGAAACTGGAATCATTAACAAATAATTCTTTCGAAGGTTTTCAAACGGCTCTTTAAAAATGTACATACCTGCATTGCACAGAGTCAGACCACAATCTGCTTGGCGGACAGATTGTGTAAGCTTGTGATGTGCATTCATCAAAGAGACGTTCATATTCTGGAAGCTTCAAGCTCTTCATCCAACAGTTTTTAGCCCAAGGCACTTTGTAGAACAAAACAGTGGAACCTACATTGCACTTGTGTGCTGAGGATGCTTAGCTGGAACATCCCACTGCACATAAGTGCTCAAGCTTTGGCAGGTTATCAGACAGGTATTTCTTTTACCCTCTTCATTTTAACTCAGCTGAGATTCAGGGGGTCCTTCCAATGTCGTTAGAGCTGTGCTCTGTGCTAGTGCTAATGCCTGTATTCATTTGCAGTGTGCAAACACAACTAAATCAGTATTACCTGTGGGGTAAGTCCGATGATTAGATTCCTTCTGCGCAGCGTATGCCAATGTTAACCTAATGCAGTTTGATTTCACTATTCATTTCAAGTGGTGTCATCCAGGAGAAGACAAATTTATATTCTTTTTAATTCTTGGGATTTCCCCTCTGCTACACTTTCAGGGATTAGTTTAAGTTGTAAACAAGTAACAGAACAAAGATACAACCAACAAAAAGTCCTCACCTCAGCATTCAGATCTGCTCCAGCATCTAGCAGCATCTGCACCATAGCCTCATCACCCCTGACACAAGCATACATCAGTGGAGTCATGCCCTAGTCATTTTTTGGAGTTGAAAAACAAAGGAATTGACAAATTTAACACAGAACTCTCTTTAATGTTTTAAACAATTATTTAAGTATATATCATCAGGACTAACAGTATGTATTTAATGAAAGCCATTACCTCTGTTACAGACATGCCCTTCAGACTAGCAAAATCCAAGCATTTTTGTAAAATCTCCATTTTCATTGTCACTTGTGTCAACTGTTTATTTTTTCATGTTATCCTCGGCATCCTCAGCATGGTGAATGAAACTAGGCTTGTCAGACTCACCTCCATCTTCATATACTAAACTGAGCATCTTTGTCACCTTATGAGAGAAGTGTTTTTATCAAAGCAACTGTATTTACACTGGTATTTTAAAAAGACAATAATTCTATTCAGTTTTCTATGCTCACAGTTTCATAAAATCTAACTTTCTGATTACCGAAAGAGCCTTTAAAAACATCCCAAGCTCCTCTGAAGGCAGGTTAGATTCAGGCACAGCTTTTTCAATGCAGATACCATAAGGGGCTGGAAATGTAAAGACTTTGTATAGCACTCTCTAGCAAACAAGGACTTAATTTCAAATTAAATGCCAGACAGCACTGTTGCACATTGCTGCCTCTAGGAAAACATAGCCCTGTTTGGAGGAAAAGCAGATTAAGTGACCCTTCACTACCGAACCACCACAATGCAATTTGTAATAATCTGAAATACCTGCTGTGGCTGATCACCGTTTCCCTTAAGATAAGTACTACTGTGGCTGTGGTAATGAGTCCAGACAACACCATGGAAAAAAAAAAATCATTAAATCTACCGTAAATTGTAACAGAAAAAGCTGCTTATTAAATACAGTAGGGGGTGTTGATCAACAGCCACCAGTTGTTTTGCAGTAAATCTACCACCAGCACACAGCTACCACTGATGCGTGTTTATAGCCTACCTCGAGGTCCCCTGGTAAATTCACTGTCAGACAACAGCACATTTGCTGCACGACCTGAGTGCTGCCGTGAAGTGAAATTTATGTTCAGAGAAACTGGAAGTGCCCAGCATGGCCAGACACGGAGCCATGACACCGCTCTTCCTAGCAATAGTCCAGCATCCCTCTTTTTGTTGAACTACCCCATTTTTGCTATTTCCATGCAGGCTTAAAGGTAGTGGGTCCTTATGTATGGAAGGGCTGTTCTTGTAGAGAAAATAAAAATTAAAGTTTGTCCCTGCAAGGTACTTTGAGCCTGCTGGAAACACACTGATCATTTCGCAGGATCAAATCCGTAGCATATTCTGGAGATGCAGACCAAGGGAATAGGCATTTGGGGCCTTATGCCGTTAGTGAGAAAAAACAACTTCACCCCAGGCTAGGAGTGTTCTTGGGTGACTTGAAGTTACTTGCAAAGAGAATTTGAAAGTACTTCAGATACAGTCAGTAGCAAAACATTTCCTTTGGCAGTCAATAAACACTACAGGAACAAACAGGATCACATGAATTAGAAAAAAATGTGTTTGGACCTTGAAACACAGGGATGGGACAGCAGCTTAAAATTAAATACATGTTCCTTCAACTATTATTTCAATTTCTGTAAGTGGTGTCATTTGATAATTAAATCAAATGTTTAGCACACGGGGTCTAATCAGATCTGAAGAAAAGAATTTGAAAACCCCGTGCCAGGGCTCTCCCCTGCAAGACGCAGCACAAGGGCAGTCACAGCGAAGAACCCCACAGCAATGCCCGGAGCAAAGGGCCTGCCTGGGGACCACACGGGATATTTTGGCCCTACTGAAGCTGAAGAGGGACCTACCACTGACTAAAAAGAGGCCCAAAATGTTATGCTTCAGCATCAGGGTGTTGAAGAGTTAATGAGGTTTCTAACCTCCCCTCCTCTTTCACTGCTGTCCCTGCTGCTTTTGCCTCCACGGCCCCCCAGGCTTGCTCTGCAGCTCAGCCTTGCACTGCAGCATCACTCAGCCCCCTTCTTTGCACGTGGGAGGAATGGATTTTTAATGAGCCCATCATTACTGTTCGACACACACAGAGGAACATGACAACAACATGTACAATGAACGCAAAGGGCATTTGGCCTTTGGCAAAATAAAAACCGGCTCTTTTTCTTTCAGCCTTGTATCACTTGGGGCTCTGTCCTGCAAGATGTGGGATCCTACAAGATGTGGGTTGTTTGATCCAGTGAAGCATTTAAGCACAGGCTTAACTTTCACTCAAATAGGATGTAAGCATGTGTTCAGAGTTAAGCATATGATTCGGTGCTTTGATGAATCAAGACAGAGTGTTCCCAGGTTTCAGCCTGGAGGACAGAGGAAATATGCTGTGAGAAGTTTCCAGGCTCTGACTAACTTATAATAGTAATAATTTTAAAAGTGTTATTTATGAACCTTGGAATGAGCAGTGTGATACGGTTTTATTTTGGGGAGAACTGCCCTCTTCTAAAGTTTTTCCTCAAACAAATCCACAATATTGACTCAGACTGAAGCTACCGAGCAGCAACATAACTCACATTCCCAGAGCAGCTTTCATCTCAGAGCACCTAAACCCACTTACAACCCAGCTCCTGTCCCAGGCGAGCACCTGCCTCTTGCCAAAGGGGATGTCACAGCCCTCAGAACATGCAGTGACACTTTCATCAGGGGCACCAGAAAATTCGGGGAACTCCATTTTAAAAGGAAATGGTGGTATCCATGGCTGTTGTTTCCCTCTGGGAAGGGGAAAACACCTCGGTGAGCATCACAGTCCAAGAGACTGCTGCCATGGGGGCAGGTTTATCCCCAGACACAACCACCAGCCTCATGGAGATGTAACTCCAGGGAAATTCTGGCTCCTCAGTCAGTGGATGTTGGCCACAATGATTAACGGAGAGAAACATCACAGAGAGACTTTCACGTCTGGAAGGTCAGTTCTAACTGGGCTCAAATCAATTGAGTGCCAGCAATTAACTATTTCCTGACGGGGGTTTGGTGGTTCATGTGAATTGTGTAGCAGACCCCAGGGCAGTGTTCAGAGGAAGGACATTCACCTCACAAAACCCTGCCCCACACCACTATTCATGGCATTAAAGCTGTTTTAGGTACCCAGATCAACACTAAGCTCTCTTGGGATCTCTTTCTGGCTTCAGCCGACTCAGTTCACTGTTAAGAAGACTTAAGGGGATGCTTTCACCTCATGCTGAGTTACCTCAGCACCAACGGATCAATACAACTCGAAAAGACCAAGCTTAACTCAGACGTTCACGCGGTGGTGCTTTACCTCAATGCAAAGTAGCGCAGGTCAAGCATTAAGGTCCTGCCTATGTTTAGCTCAATGCTGGGGATCATTTGCTGTGATAAGCAGACCAACTCTCATATTTCACAGTTGCTTCTTCACGTTTCTATCTTGTTACCTGTTCACTCATGCTGTTAATCCCATCCGGCCCCAGCAAGGATATGGCTTGTTTAACCAGATCCGTTCGGCCACAGTTGAGCATCCGAAAACCCAGGTCCTGCTTGAACTTCGCTTCAGTGGCAACTGCATCCAGTTTCCGAGACGCACAAAAACAGTCGTCAATTCTGTGGATGTGAGAAACAAATTCCCTCAGAGGACAATCAGAGGACAGACCTCACTGTCCACAGGAAAATAATACTCTGCCCCAGCTTTCAAGGATGTAGGTCACGCACACGTTCTCCTTTGACCTGTAGGTTCAAGGGAAGAGCTGAATGGAAAACGCTAATGCAAGCTAATCGAGACTGCCCTTGGTCTTATCTTTCATGGGACAAGCTATATGTTTTATAAAAAACTGGGGGGGGGGGGGGGGGGGACCACTCCAGAGAACACCCAGCAATTCCAATCCAATGTTTATCCAACTCAGTTTCATCTTATTAAGGGACAGATTTGCTTTTCTTTTATGCTGAGGAGTGTCTGGGGCAGAGGGTGGAGTTCAAATTCACAGTACTTTTGGCGTGAACTCGGATACAGGCCTGTTTGGAAAATCACCACTTTCATTCTCCAAAAATTCTAGGTCAGAAAATGAGGGGCTACTTATGAATGAAAACCAAAATAAAGATCAAAAGTGAAAAAGTCAACCGTACAAATATTCTTTTCTGTTTCATATTTAAAAGATGCATTAAACCAAAAGAAAAATATAAACAGCACATCATCTTTTAAATTTCTTCTTCAAAGTGCTTTATCACAGCTTTATAAAATCAATAACACTGCTTAATATTTAAAAGCAATATGTGATGAATATGCTGTTTACATAGAAGCAGTGGC